TATTCGAGTGCCATGAAAATCTGGCAACTGTTCATGTTGATGCAACTGGGAAATGAAACATCAATGTTAACTATACAAACATCTGGACAGCATTTGTTTTGTAATGTAAAACTATGAGGGCAAAACATATCAGCTATAATAATAATAATCCTTGCATTTGATATAGCGCTTTTCACGTCGGGAGGACGTCCCAAAGTGCTTCACAGAACACACTGTAAAGTGAATTGACTGTATATTTGTGGGCGAACGCGGCAGCCAATTGCGCACAGCAATGTCCCACAAACAGTCGTAGATTGAAAATGACCAATTTATTATTGGTTTTGGTTTTTGGAGGGATTATTATTATGCCAGGGATGGGAGTCCATCTATTTTTGAAGACTGAGCATTTCTGGCTTCCCTTTTACTAGCAAACTCCCCTGTTCTTCCATTTTATTTCCTGTTACAACATTCACCAGAGTGACATCCTGTAAATTTCTGACACTGAATCTTGCAAACCCAAATGTAAAAAAAAGCACAGCATTAAAAAATGCATAGCAATGAATCCAGTTTAGCCTCTCGAAAAAAAATACATAGAAACCATTCTAGTGCTTATAAATGACCCACCATTACAATATTTAAACATTGTGATGCCAAGAAGCATAGGTTAGAAAACCATCTTGTCTATTGCATTCCTTGCTTATGCAATGTTTCATCTTTGGTTCCAACTACCTCTTACATTAACATAACATACACTGTATTTCTAGTATTTTCGTGGTCTGATTAAACAATTGCCCCATCTGGTGGATTAAACTGTGACAATATGATGGTGGTGTGTGCTGTTCAAGCACAAAGAGCTTGTTTTTTTGGTTTTATTTACACATGGGTTACTTTAGACATAACATAAATATCTCTACAGTTATCCAACAATATAGGAGAAAGCAATAGTTTCCTAACAAGTAATAAATACAATCTGATCTATTCAACTCCAATTTCACTTTCCCATTCTGATTCTCTCATATCCTTCACAATTTTCCTCTTGTCTTAAATCACAATTGGATTTTGCGATTGATATTGTTCAGGCTTTGTTCTGTTTGATGAGTTTAAAAAAAATGTTACTCCAGGAGAAATATGCATTGGACTTAAAGTTGTCCTCCCCATCACCACTGCCCATCCAGAAAGCTTGCAAAGAATTAGTTAATGTATCTTAAACTTCACAGGAGATAATCCTTTTCAAGCCATGAGATATTTTAAGTTTTTTTTTACTTACAGAACTTCTCAGGCGTCGCATTCCTTATTTAATACATTAGTTCTGGATTGGCAAAGCTTTAAGTTTTAATTAAGTCCTGTACCTATGACACATAAAGTACAAAGCATCACCTCCACTGCCTATGGGACACAGCAATGGGAGGCACACTACAGGGAGTGCTTTAGGATTGTAGAATCATGAGACTTCAGGGTAATCTTAGCAGCTAGGGACCTTTTGCTTAAAAAACTGATTTTAAAAAAAATCTTCTAAACCTTTGCTGATAATTTCTATGCGTTTTAAAAAGGGCAAATTGGTTGAAGTGCAAGAAAGAAAAAAAAAGTAACATATTGTTAGAATGCAGGAAAGCAGGGCCGGCTGTTAAGGTTCTGCAAACTAAAGTCATTAAAGCTCGGAAGCATAAAAAGTGAATTTTACTGAATAATACCTATACAGTGCCTCAATATGTTAATAGAATTTGTATGATGTTTTTCCAGTTTAAACAAGCCTGATGCAAAAAAGAGAACTTGTGGCGGAAATGTTAAATGAAACTGGATTTTATGGATACATTGTCCAGCATATGTTTGCAAAAGTGTTCTGCTCAAATGGTTTGCTTTTCAAAAGACCGTTTAAAGGAAAATACCTAAAAAANTTGTTGTGTGCTAAAAGAAACTTAAAATCAACATAAAGTGGTAATCTGACTACTGTAGTTTGGTGTTCCGATCTAAACTGCTGAATGGCTGAATTCAGAAGGGGTCAATCAAGTTTATCCATCAAACCATTGCAGGAGCTGCTTGTGGTAGAAACAGGAGGTCTCCAGGGTTTCAAAAATGCTGAGACAGACAGAAAATATTTAAAAAGTGTATGAGGTTAGATGGCCAGGAACAAAAGCCCCTTTGATAAAAACTGTACTAGTGTTGGCAATACATGCTTTAATGTCAAACATTAACCTTTCCGATCCAAGTACAAAACTTACCTTGATAAAAAGAAATAATAGCAACTATCTACAGCT